CTAAAGTAAACATTTATTTGGAAACCGCCAATTTAAATAGCTTTTAACATGGAGCTGGACTAGATTTTTTGATGTATTAACTGTAAAAAAAAATTCAAGGTCACTGCATGAACTTGATTTTTATACCCGCATATATCTATCGAATAAAAGGGTCGCAACAAGTGAATATCGTTCATTTCGAAACCGAGTTTTGTCTTTATCAATGTGACTATATGATTAGAATGCGTGTGTCCTCGATGTGCAGAAGGTTGACAACATACAAGAATGATATGAAGTAAGAGTGAATTAACGCAAGGATGATGTTACATACTGGTGATAGCATGTGACATCGGGGTATCTCTTGGTACACTGTATTATATATATATGATTCGACAGAAATTATCAAAGTATCAAATACATGAAGAAACAGTTCCCAATCAAATATTCACTTTTGTTTTTTTTTATTCTCAGAAATCTTATTTATTCTATAAAAGAGGCTCATGTATATACACACACGTTAAGAATTCAATTAAAACATAAAAAAATAATAATCAAATAGTTATATTATTTCTGTGTACTCAATATCATCCAATTATAACGAAAAAAAAAACCGTAATTGCCAAGTAATGCCATATCCTTTCGTTATTGTGGAATGCTTTAATAATAATAAAAAGAACATAATAAATCAATAATTATTTCATAATCCATGTACCATTGTCATTTTTTTTATAAGTATGACATTGAGTTTTTCTATTCCAATATTGATCAATATGTTCTAATGATTGTTGTTTATGATCTTTATCATCAAGAAATAATTTTAAACAAAGTTCACACATATATTTTGGTATTTTTATATGAAGTGCATATTGTCTCCATTGAAAATATTCTAAATAAGCTGTTGTATTTTTATCAAGATAATCAATATATGTACCAAGTTCACGTGGTGTTGGAAAATTTCGTACATCAATATATCCTGTTGATGGAATATAATGATCATAACGTGCCCAACCAAGCACAATTGGTATAATTTGTGCACTCTCAAGTGCAAGAAAGAATTTTTCTGTTACATATTCATCACATAAACTATTTTCAAAAGCTAAATAAAATTTATATGTTGTATAAGCATATTGACGACAATTGACAACTTTAGGGCATGGAATTCCACATTTACCATAGACATCAACAGATATATATTTTTTTAATTCATTAATATAATTTAAACGATTACTTGAATCACCACAATTAGAAATAATAGCAACAAGAATTTTTCCTGATTCTTTTGTTTCAATAATAGAATTAAAATTATAATTTGGATATATTTTATAATTAAATAACCAAAAAAAATTTCTTAATGTTGTTGCTGTTATATCTGAATCAGGTCGATATGTTTGAGTATAATTAAATATTCGACTATGTTGTTTTGAAGATAAACTTGGTGAATGTATTGGTGATTCTTTTAAAAAGAAAATAAATTTTTGATTTATTTGACGTGTTATATTATTTAATTTTTTATAATTAATTGATTCTCGAAGATGAATAAGTGATGCATCACTTTGTGAAAAAAAATTATGATCAATTGTAATATGACATGCATTAACTAATATAGGACAATTATTGAAATTAAAATCATTTGAATAAACAGTATTTTCATCTTTATTATACCAATATGTACTACCAAAAAATTTTGTATAATAAAGAATTAATTTTGTTTTATTTGACCATGAATAATTAATTATTTGAATTGGTTTTTCTAATGATTGAAGAATAAAATCTAAAATAGAATTTTTTTTAATATAATTAATTTTTTTAATATAATCTATCCAATAATTTCGTATATTTATTGTTAATTCTGTTTGATTATTTGATAATATTGTATAATAAGGTATTGGTTGATTATAATAAAGTTTCATTGTTAATGGATAAAATATTGCTTGTGAATTAATTGATATTTGATTAAAAATATGAAATATTGTTTCATTATTAGACAAAGTTTTATTTGTCAATAAAAATAAAAAACATTCAGGACATTGTTCAATATATTTTAAAAGAAGATTTGTTACTGATAAATTATTTTTATTGAAATTTTCATTATTCGTACTTTGAATTAATATATGTGAAAAATCTGTTTGATTTTGATATATATAATAGAATACAGATATAAAACCAATTAGTGCAAATAAATAAATAATATAAGAAAAGTATTGCTGAAAATTCATACGTAAATTTTTTTTTTTATTGTTCACATAACGAGAGGTGCCATAGTTTGTTTTTGTTTCATTTAAAAGTCTAAATCAAAAAGTAGCAAATTCTTATAAACTAATGAATGATCAGCATTTACTATGCTTCATTCAGTTGTAAAACATCAAAGAACGAGAAAAAATTTTTAACAAACAAGAACAGAAAAAAAAAAAAGAAAGAAAGCTACCAGTTTTAATCAAAGCACACACACACATACATCATATTATATCAATGGCAACGGTTAAAATCAAATAAAGAACAATCATAACTTTTATAGCTTTGTTGTCTGATAAATTTTTAAGTAATATTTAAATTTGAAAATAAGATAAGCATATGAATTATAGAATTATGAAATTCTGAAGTTATTCTTCATATTCAATCGTCTAGCTATTATTCATGGGAAGTATGTCGATAATTTATATATATAATATTATTCAATACAATATTAAAATATATAGAAACTGAAATGTTAACGATTTTAAACTCTTTATTGGCAAGCAGTAGACCCCAATGTCAATATTTATCAAGGAAAGAGTTTAATATCAACATGAAAAAATGTGCTATTGCCATTTGACAGACATGAGACTTGTTCTTTGTTCAGTTAGCAAATTTGTAAAAATACGAAGTTATGCCTCTACAAAAAAAAATTTATTATTAAATATAAAATAATCTTATAATAGATACTTACAAATGGTACGAAAGTTCGTAGGAAATTTAAAGCGTTGAATTAGAAAGAAAATTCTGTGTACTTTTCAAATATATATTCACAATTTCATCGGTTAAACATTATGAGTGAATTTTTAAAAGCCTCAAAGATCAAGTTTGGATAGAAACAGTTGAATTAACAGATCAAGAAATGACAAAGTTTGATCATAATTCATTTGAAATTGATTGTAAATTATTTTTTTTCGACATTTTCTTATTTTCATCATAAAGGCATCCAAATTTAGCTTAGTTTCATTATCTTTTACTTGATGACTACATCACGTTCTGAACTTATTTGCATAAGCATTTAGACAATATGCGATAGTATAAAGAGCGAGACAATTCTCTATAAAGTGAGTTAAGAACTGAAAGCTTCGAAGCAGTTGTTCGGAAATAATCGAACTGATTTTGTAAGTCTAGAAATCAAGAAGTTTGAAAGACGTCAATATGTCTTTTATTAAAAGTCTTATTATTGATAGAAACGTCACAGAATACTAATGATTAGATTATTATTTTATTCAGAAATGTTTGCTCTTTCTTTTAGGATATGTGTAATTAAATTTTACTTCTACAAGGCTTTCCAATAAATCCTGCCCTATGAGTCTTACACAAATTCCAAATATAAGACAAAAGTCTCATTCTAATGCAATAGTTTAAATTTTTTGCTAACTCCTATAATCGATCGATAAATGAAAGAACATGTTGTCTTGAAACCATTACATCACTTCTTATTACTATATTCGATAAAATAAATATATGATATTTTATTCCATTTTCATATTTTAGAAACCATAGAAATCTAAAATTATGTTGCATAAGTTAAAAAAAAAAGAAAACATAACAATCTACTAATTATACATAATTGATGAAAATCTTTTTTTTGTTCCAATGCAAATATCAGTATCTAAACATGTGCTTGCCATCTAGGTATAATCCTTTGACACAGAAATAATTTTAATCAGATCAATAGATTCCTAATTTAGAATTTATGCTATTGTTGATCTTATCGTATTCATGCATATATAATTACTTATGACATATCTTTGGTACTATATATATTTTTGATGTATTTCATCATCATAAGTTGTATTTATAACATGGAAATTTTGATGCATATGATTAAAGCGAATGCTTTTTTTGTTTTCTACAACTATATTATACTATTTGAAATAAAATCAGTTGAGTAAGTTGCATGTGAAGAAAAAAAATGATTCAATGTATAGCTGCAAGCCATGATGGAAAGAATCCATTATAGTGATTAACGTACTACGTAGGAGATTTTTCTCAGTGTTTACACCTTAGAGACATACATTAACATACGTTTTCTTATAAAATACTTTTATTGTAAAGAGAAATCAAAGATAAATAAATGTTGATGAATTTGCTAGAAGTCTAATAATAGTTTTACCATAAGTTTTAATTAATGTATTATTTTCTATGTTTATACATCGTATGTGTAATGTATAAACCACTAGTGAGATTATATCTAGTTACGTAATATTCATATTTTCAATTATGTTAATTTTTATCATAAAAGTTCAACATGACCTTTTTTTTTTCAATCTCATTAAATTTCTGAATATTTTTAAACATGAATGGAACAAATGTCATTTTGATTGAACATAAAGAAATTGAAATGCTTGACCCTTTTATATTTGATGTTGATTAGAAATACCAACTTGTCTTTGATGTGTTTATTTATGTCAGAATTTTATTTGATTTGTCATCTTTTATGAGTATTATCTTCATATTGAAAACAAATAGATGTTGTAATATTTGTTATAACATAGTCAAACTATGAATAAAATCTATTTCTAGTTAATATTTCATTCAATACTTTTCTGAAATTCATATAAAGAAAATTTTTTTTTTTTTAGAATAATTAAGTTATTGATGAAAGTTTTAATTAATTTTTTTTTTTAAACTTAATCTTTTATTTTACAAATGTGTATAGTATTTATTCATTGTTTTTCAACTAGTAGATCAATTAAATCCTACAATTCATACAAAACTAAAAAATTCAATGTTTCATATGATATCGAATATAAAATAAAGGACACTTTTCATGTTACTAAAAATAGAAAAGAAATTCATGAGTTTGAAATAAATATTTTCAAGTTATTTTTAAGCATAGCATATGGATATTATTTTTTTTACGTATGAATAAGATGAATTTTCTTTAAATGTTTTCAAATTTTATTTATTTAATGCCATTGAATATGATGACCTAGGAAAAATATTTCTGATATTAGATTGATATTAATAATGTAATTATTTTTTCTTCCATGACTAATATATCTTCATTATGTCAGTTGAGTTGTAAAAGTTGAAAAATTATACCTCGAGACATTTTGTATGATCTTACTTTTATTAATCTATCAAATAAGAATATATTATTATAATCAATAATTGTTATTCATATTTATAAGATAAAGATAATCAATGTTAATTATATCTTATTAAAATATATTACCCAATATTTATATTATTATTAATTTATAATTAACTTTTTATTATCATATTAAATAAAAATATCATAAACTAATTTTTAGATCTAATTAAAGTCCTATGAGACAAACGGAATTAATCGAATCGTAATATATCGAAAAATCACATGTCCAGACAAATGGAGTTTCAAATATCAAATTGTTCTGCAAGATTCCAGATCTGATAATATAATATTTTGTATTGCTATTATGATATAAACATATGTCATATCTATTATTCATTGATAAATTCTTTTTTTTTTTTTAAATCTACTGAATCTAATTCGCTTTGTTTTGTTTGTAAGAATTAAATTTCAATATGGAAAAAAGAAAAATGTTGACAGATAACAATTTGTCCAAAAAGAATATTAATTAAGTAAAAATTCTTGTCAAGAGTAAATATTTTGTTTATACAAGTCTATCTAATAGTATACATCGTTTATCATTTATATTTTTACACGCACGAAATAAATTCTTTTCCAGATATTCTTAAGGCCTTTTTTTTACGGCCAATTATAAACAAGATCTTATATGATACATTATTACACAAAAGGAATAACTATTGCTAATAACATTTTACTCTTTCAAACAAAAACAAAAGGTAAAATAATAAACAATTGATTTAAATTTCGAATAACTTTTTAAACAAACTATTTTAGAATTGACAATATTAAATTTCAAATAATATCAAATAGATATTTTGAATTTAAAATGAAATGAAACACAAAAAAACAACAATGAATTATTCTACTAATAAGTTCTGTACATATATATGTATATCTCTATCAGATATTGTATGATTGGTATTAATGAAAATTTTCTGAATAACAAAAATTCTAAGCTAAAATTTTTTCTTTTGTTGGTTTTCTTTTGTTAACTCGAAAAAAAAAATCTATATGAGAATTTAAATTTGAAAATATTCAATTTCATTATTATCTTACTTGACTTTTTTCTCATGATAAAATCCATTTCGATTAATGAAACATCAAGGATGTGCAATGTTGGATCCTTTTGAGACAATTATACTTTTTTTTCATCACTAATTTGGCTCAAGTTTCTTATGGGTATTCATCAATGATAGAAACATACGGTCATAGACTACCAACTATTAATAGTCTGCTTGAAGAGTTAAAGAAAACAGATAATGAAACGGGAATACTGCTGTTCTATGAGAACAACACAAACAGTATGCATTAGTAGAAACTCAGTACTTATCACGTAGAACACGTCTTGATGAAATCAAATGAGTGATAGACAGAACAGCAGATAGATAAAAGATATGTATATATATATAGATCAATAGAGATATATTGAATAGATGGTTTTTCTTTCTTTCAATATCTTTTGGTCGTCAGCTAACAAGATGCTAGAAGAGCCGTCATCAAATGTCGACGAGTTATAGCATTTCTATAATAGGCTTATACCATTATTCTGATGAATATTTCATAAATATTAGGAATATGAAAGGCGAAAAGAAGGGGAGAAGACAAAAGGAAAACGAATATATGAAAGAAAGAGAGTGAGAGAAAGTCAACTGTTTGTGTGTACAAAGATATAAAACAAAAGCACCTGTTTTTTGGTCGCACTAAATACAGTGACTAACTAATAAATACACAATAGGATTTTATATATTATATAATAAAGAAAAAAAAAAAGAATAAAACCATTTTGTTATTATCTTTTGTCTGTAAGATAGTTCATTTAATGAACACATTGTGTTTACATCTCAGTCGGTTTTTGTGAGTATAATAATATTTGACTGACAGTAGCAAATAGAAGATGATGAT